TTTGAAACACTCAGTTCAACCTGGGAGTTCACTCAGAGCCAATTTCAGTACAAACTTCTGAGTACACAACCACAGGACATAGGAGCCTGATTATTTAAGAGAGTATTCACTGGGCTGTAATCCACTGTGGAACCACTCGTCTGACATATGTAAATGACTCTGCTTCTAAGAGGTCACATTACCAACTGCAATTTACCTTTTGTTGTACAGTAACATTTATTCCCCAAAGAAAGTACATGCACACAGCCTCCGCTGTGTTTTATAAATATCAGTTTGAAATAAAATGTTCAAAAGCTCAAGTGATTTAAGAGCCTACATTATGTTTGCAAAAATAAAGTAAGCATTTACTGACAAAAAAGTAATGAAAATTCACTGGGATGTAGGAGGTTTTGAAAACATTGTATTTTAGTAGTGGTTCATACCGTGACCATTAGGAAACCTAGAAGGAAGTGGCCTGATCCAAAGAATAAATATGCACACGGATAAATAAACACAATGCTTGAAATCCTTTTTTTCAAAGGGAAACCTCTGAAACATACTTATAAACTGTCATACCTTCAAAGGCATGTTATATAATATTTTATTACAATGAAAAATGATTGTAAACATCTCCCTCATTTTACATCTATTACAGAAAGGTGTTCTCACAGTTCTCCTCATATTCAATTTGTTAATTCTCATAAATTCAATGTATGGAGTATCTTCACATTATAACATATCAGATCTCGCATTCAGCTGCAAGAATATAAGCAAAGAGTTTACTTCCCCGATTCCAACTGGGAAAATTAGCCCTCGCATGATGCAAAACATACTGTTTCACTTCAGAGTCCAGTCCTGAAATAGAACTGGGTTTTCCTACCTGTAAAAGTATTCAAAAAGAAAAAGTTACCACATAAACCTCTGTATTTCATCACTGTTTTCCCACCGGAATGTTCTGTTTAGAAAAAGATAAAAAGTTACAGCATTTACTACAATATAAAAAGCCAGCTCCAGAAGTTGTCTATACATAGATGGAAATGGAATATTGAGCCTATATATTAAGAATGGCAAAATAAAGTAACGAAATTCTAGCAATTTTTGAGGAACTGTGACAGCTAATAAACACACAAAATACATCAAGATCCAGAATATCGATTTTGATTTTAGTGTATCAGTAAAAGTCCAGCCAGCAAATATATAGAATGGAACCAATACATATTTTACAAGCTCGTGTCTTTGGAACACTTTTCTCCAGACATAAAATGTGTAATGTCTGTTATCTGCTAGTAAATACTTATGAACATAGGTAAATTTCCAGATCAGGAATAAAGAGATGATGGTGATTAAGCTGTACTGCACGGGGTGCTTTCGCAATGACAGAAGGAATTTCCTGATTTTAGTAGGCGTCAATAAATGAGGGAATGAAAAAAAAACAGTAAAGGACAGAAAATAAAACAGCTGAGGAAAGTGCAAACACGCTTCATGGCTACTTCTGTCACCAACAACTATTCCACCATTGATGATAACAAAACCAAAGAAGACAGTTACTAATATGATGTACGGCCAAGTTAAAGCAGTAAGTATAACTAAGTTTTTAGGTGATATGAGATATTTAATAAGAAACTGCAATATTCTGGTCAAATCTGAAAATGATCCTTTCTTGGAAGAAATCTTTTCGTCTTTCTTCTTCTGTAATTCAGTCTTCCAGGCTTCATTTAGCTTTTCTGCCACAACATTTCCAGCACAAAAAATTGTCCACACAATATTTGTCTGACGAAACATGAAGCCACAAAATCCCAGGAGAGCTGATGTTTTATGGTTACCATAAAGGCACATTAAATAGGCAAAGAGAGTAAAAAATACTGAACCTGGATCCGTATAATAAAGAAATGTAAAAAAGTAAAGGGTGGGAAACATTGCAAGAATTAATGTAGACAAGATTCTCTGGAAGCCAGACACAGCCTAGAGAAGAAGCATAAAAATACGGTTAGCCAATGTCAGACAAAACAAAATAACAAATTAGAAGAAAATTTGTATCATTCTTGAGAATTCTGTTAACACAATATAATATCTCCTATGCTCTTTGGTTCCATTACTGCACAAATACTGTTTTGTTAACCTCCTGCTATGTTAACATAGTATTGGACTCCAATCCAAGTGAAAGTACAGAACATTACTGCAGGTGAGTTAAAAACATGGCAACAAAAATACACCAACTTCTTTCATATGTCAGGTGTGCACATATTTGTGGCATTAAAATCACGGTGGGAGCATAATTGGTCCCATACCTAGGATGAAAGAGCTACACTAATGGGCAAAAGGAAATAAAATCAATGTTTTATGCCCCTGCAATCTCATCATCAGATTCTGCTTATCTGTGAGACAGCACCGTTCTATGCCTCTACTATCACCTCTTTTGAACCCAGTACATGAGCGGCCAGCTCCAAGTTTCTAATCTACAGTGAAGCTTTTATTGTTTATCCTCATTATAATTCATGAGTTAGAAAAGAAACTTTAAAAAAGATAGAAGACCATGCAGTTAAAAACTCCTCCCAATTATCCCACTCACAACATGATGCAACATAAATCACAACATTAAAAAATTTTGCATGATGTCTCTGAATGATGCAGCGTGGGGTGAAACAGCCACTTACCACCTTACAGAAAAGAGGAACAGATAAAATGTTGAGCTCAAAGAAGTGTCAAAAATACCACTACATTTCCCAATGCTTAGCCTACTGTCATAAACCCTTTTTCTACATTTATATTTCCACTTCCGAGTATAAAATTAAGTGTTCTGAAAATGGAAACAATTTATTGGATCTGATCCAATTCTGTAGAGTGGATGTGCTTAAACATGAAGATGCTCCTGTAAGAAAATACATCAAAAGAAATTTTCTTTATAGAAAAAAGTGTTTTTAAAGTTAAAAGTCAAACACTAAATAACTTTACTAAAGTTAAAGATTTTTGAATAGACTGTTAACCACTGAAACAATTTACCTACTGCAGTGGTGTATTCTCCAGAACCTTAAATATACAGCATTTTTGTATCCAAGTTGAACTGTTATGAACTGGATGTGTGGACAGCTAGACAGGTAATAACTATCCCACTGTACCCACAGAATCTATACTGGGACCTGTCCTGTTTAACCTCTATGACTAGAAGGCAGCAAATGTACACAGTCAACAAGTCTGTAGTTGACACTATTGCATACCACTTGGGTGGGACCAAGCAATTTGCTAAAGAGCAGAGGTGCCACGCAGATTGACCTAGACAGGTTGGAGGAATGGGGCAACAAAAATATTACAAAATTCAACAAGGACAAATCCAAATGCCTGCAGCTGAAAAGGAATAAATCCCCACAATGAGGGGCTGCTGCTCTGAGGAAAGGGACCAGAGGGTCTTCACAGATAGCAAGGTGAACATGAGGTGGCAGCACGCCCTGGCACTAAGGAAGAGCAACAGTCTCCTGGACTTCATTAACAAGAGTAGATCAAGAGAAGTTATTATCACTCTTTACTCTACTTGTTAGGTTGCACCTAGAATACCACGTCCAATTTTGTGCCCTGATAAACTGAAATGAGAAGTTCAGACTGGAATTACGGACAATCTTTTTCGCCGTGAGGCCAGTCAGTCATGAAGCAGATTGCCCAGAGAGGTTGTGCACTCATTCATGGAGAGTTTTCCAGGCTCCAGTCCTGAGCAACCTACCTGATCTCAAGACTGGCCTTTGCTGGGGTAGAGCGTGGCCTTCCTAAGGTCCATTCCATCCTCAATCATTCTCCAGTTTTTTGCAACTTGAATTATTCTCCATTTCTAAATACTGACATCAAGTCAGGTATCGTTCTAAAGAACTGATCTTAGTTTAAACACAGCCCACAGGGCTGCAGGATTCTGCAGTTGAAGGTTTATGAAGAGTCTTAAGCAATTCCAACTAGATGAGCATTCAGACATTTGGATATTCAGTCTGTACCCATACTAACTAACTTTTCTCTCAACAGGACTCCTTATAGTTATGTGCAAGAGTAAATTTTTAGAAGATTGCACCTTGAGTGAGAAAAATAGAAATTAAAAAAAAATTTAGAGAAAAGGAATGGGTTTCCTTGGCCAAACTGGTGGCAGCACTTACAGTCATATAAAACTGAGGACAGCTCACGTATATAGTATGTAGTGAAGGGGACATATACTAAGCCATCAAAGTTGCTTGTACAACTGCATAAAACTATTTTACTTTGACCATACCTTATTCTTCTGATGGATCTTGAACAGAAGCAAATACAGTAAATAGAAGTTCCCAGCGCTGAAGAGGAGGTTGATAAACCTGAGCATTCCCACAGAGCACACCACGCTCCCGGTCCATCCGAGGAGCCACGCCGCGGGCTTCACTACTCCCACCGAGACCAGGTACAGGCCGGGCAGCGTGGTGATCATGGGGTCCCACTGCACGGCCGAGAGAGAGTGAGACAGACACAGAGAGAGAGAGGGAGAGACAGAGAGGGTTACGGAGCAGCTCCCACAAAAGGGGCCAAAGACGTGCGATGGTTCGGGCACACCACCCGCGCCACGGCCCGCTCTGCCAGCCCGGCTGTTCCGCGGACTTCTGGCATTATTACACCGAAGGTTTTGAACGCTGTGTGCCCTGGCGCTGCTGCCCCACCAAGGGACAAAACGAGCGTTCGGGCAACAAGGACGGCAGGCGAGTCCCTGCGCTCAGACATCCCCGACTCCGAGCGACAGCTACGCTGCTGCGGCAGGGATGCTGTGAGGATCTGACTGCCGGACGGCCGTGCAATGGCTGCGCCTGCGGGACGTTGGAACACCTTCGTCCATGTAGGCCGCGCTGGCGGCGGCTGATGCCGCGAGAGCAGCAGGACAGCAGGAAGGCGCCGCTCATTGCCCCGGAGACCGTTAGGCCGAGAGGTCCCGCCGCCCGCGCCCGGGGGACGGCCGCCCTTCCGGGGGGGCGGCGGGATCCCCTCGCCGTCCCGGCAGCTGCCGGGCGGGAAGGGGCGCGGGGGGTGCGGCCGCCTCTGGCCCGCACGCGTGGGGGTTCTCTGTGGGAAGAGCTGAAACCCCCGGTCGGAATGCCTGGGGGTTGGTAGAGCCGTGTTTTCGGCGGGACAAGCGGGCGCCTCTCCGTGTCCCCAGGATGGAGCGGACGCACCAGCTGGAGCTGTTCCCTAACTACAACGTCACGCTGCTTCTCTTCCGACACGTGAAAAATGCCGCTGCTCTACGGAAAAAAGCCATGGAAGGATCCCTCGAAGGAGCACTGATAAACCCTGCGATGGTGAGTGAGCCTTTGTGCCGTCCTGTTTGCGTGGAAATCCTCGTGGGAGCTCAGGGAAAAACGACCTGTGCTTGTAGTCGCTGTCACACGACTTTATTTGCGTTACATTTCCTCCACGCTCTGCTCAAACACCCTTCTTTGATTTCATTATTGTGTCCTACAGCGTAAGGGTTCGTCTGTGTAAAACAAAGAGCCATGGCAGGATTGGCCAAAACAATTAATTTTACATCCTACTAAATCAATGGCCTTGATTAATTTCACATCCTACTTGGTGGAGCTATTTAAATCTACTTGCTTCATGCTGTCAAATATGTACTATTTAGACCCTTTTTTCCTCATTTAAACCCATAACTAGTTTCAGAATCTAGTTTTTTTTTTTTGTTAGAATTAGTAAAGCAGTAGTTAGGGGAAGGGGGAAAAGTAATTGGCAATTTATTGACAAAAGATTCATTAACGTGGTTCTTTTTTCAGAAGATTTCAGTAACCTGATTGAGAGAGGGTAATCTTTATTTTTATGACAAGTATTACCTCATGCAGGAAATAAACACATTGACTTCAGAAGAGCAAGACTTACTAAAATAACGAGGAGGATGCTGTTTTGTTCACTTCTATGACTGCAGACTTAGGCAATCAAAATTAAGTGGTCAGGAGTTTTTTCAGATTTTCATAAACAGTATGTTAAATTTATGTGTAATGGTTTCTGTCGTATTTTACAGATTGTAGATCCTTTTCAAATTCTCGTGGCAGCCAACAAAGCAGTACATCTACAACAGATAGATAAAATGAAGACCAGAACTCTCTATGCAGAAATTATTTTCAACCTTTCACCAAACAACAATGTAAGATTTACTGAATACACTTCTTTTTTTTTTGCTAGAGCTTACTAAGATCCACACAGCCAAACTAAAATTCAGAGTTTACCTGCCTAGTAATAGAAGTTACTGTTATTTTTAATAACACTAATATGCTGTTATTGTTTGTAGCTTGTCAGAATTGCATTAATGTAAAACATTTGTCAAGTTATACTCTTGGTGTGTTTGACCCAGTAACTAAAAAGATTGCTTATATGTAGCAAGAAAGTGACTCATAATATTTTTATGTTTTTTATCTTTTCTCAGATTTCAGATGCATTTAAAAAGTTTGGCATTTCAGACAGTGACACAGCAGTACTCATTGTTCTGCTGGATAGCTACAAAACTGTAAATCTGGAAGATATAGCATCACAAGTGGAAGGCCAACAGGTTTCTCTAGATGAACTCCCCCACCTAACAGACACTGCCAGAGTTAAAAAGGTATGTAGCCAAAAGAGAAGAGAAAAGGGATAGTTTATTTAATTGTTTGATTAAATATCAATGGACATAATTAACTTAGGATCTGTATTTCTTTAACTTAGGATCTGTATTTCTTTAGTTTCCAGTGAACCTTGATTAGTTATTTCTTAAATTTTTTTAGTTGAAACAAGTTCTAGTTGTCACACTTCAACATCACAAACTTTAAGTCTTCAAATTATTATCATTGTCATAAAAATCAATTCCAGATTGCTGCCTACCATTCAGGCACTTTTGCTTCCTGTTTTCTCAGTCAAATATCTGTTTAATTAAAAATTTCAGTCCTGAACAGTTTCATAATCTTAGGCACATAAATAGCCCCAGTATGGGTGGCTAAAATAAAAACGTGCTGATTAGCCGTTAGGAGCTGTCTTAGGGCATATGTGCTCTTAACAGATTAGATAGGTATCTTGGAGCATGTGTGTTCTACATGATAAAATTCAAGTAACTTAAATCATCTTGATCGTGTCCATCAAAGTAATGATAGGAGACACATGAATAAAATTGGACAGATCATAGCATTTAACATGTGGAGCCAAAAGTGCTGCTCTCATTCAGTTTCTTGATTTCCTTAGTCTTGCAGTTTCAGAATTTGCTTGGTTCCTCAGTCCCGACTTTGTCTTGCAGTCACAAGAAGATAGGAATTTCCAATGTAAGAATGGCGGAGAGGGGAAAATTTTTTCATGTATGTATGTATTTTTAGAAGCCATGTGATAATTTTTTCCTTCCTTATACAGCTTTTCTGTTTTTCTTGTTCTTTTTTTTTCTGCAGATATACAAAGTTACTCCGCAAGAAGAAAAAATCAGCACCTTATTGGATAGTGTTGTTTGCAGAATGTCAACGAAAGATGTCTTATGAAAATGTGGAAATACATTTTTTAAAAGGAAAAAGGACTTTTTAAGGTGTAAAAAACACTTCATTGCAGTTCATCTTGCATTTCAGAGAAAGTGGAGTAGCACTGAGTAGTTTGATGACATCTGATCTTTAACCAAGCTTGGATACCAAGCTTAGTAATCTTATCTGTGTTCTAAGCACAGAGAGCAATTCCGCCATGCAAAGCAGAATTTGCCGTTGGTATTTCTGTCCTTTTTCTTGACAAGGGAAAATTGCCAGTGCTCTAAGCTGAACATAAACAGAAGGATTGGAAATCTCTACTTACTTTTCTCTTTTATCAACAATGTTTTGCCAGACAGGATTCAAACATTCTAAATAATTTTTATTAACCCTCCCCGATTTGTTTTTTCGGTACACCTGATGGATGATACTCTTTTAAGGATACTACTGCCACAAAAGGTGTTGAAATGTTGTCCAATACAGTAAACAGACCAGTGAACTGACATATAGACCTACTTTTGTCTGTGTTTCTGTATTAATTATGGAAATCCCTAGCTTGTGTTTTGCATTTTGATTTTGGTTAAGTCTTCCCTCAGTTTAAACCCAAGAGTACAAATACCATCTTTTTCTTACCAACCAGACCAATGGCAAATTTAGTTCCCAAGTACCAAAGGAATTCCAAGATTTATCAAAAGAAAGGATTTGGGAGAAATCGCTGTGCTGACTTCTTGCTTTAAAGATGGTTTTACAGAATGCATCATCCTCTCTAAAAGGAAATGTGAGGCAGTAGTAAAAAATGGAGCTTGGAAGGGCTTGCGTCTTTTAAAAAAAGATGTGTGTAACATCAGGATGTGAGAATGACCATGGAAAATAAAATACTTGTTTTCCTTTTCTGACAGTCCAGTTGGTACATGGAACATATCATAAGATTTACTGGCTGAACTACAATGTTTTTGGTAGCTTAAAATAACAGCAGACAGCTTTGCTTAAACCACAGCCTTTTTTGAACATGTGTAAAACATCTGTCCAGTGTCTTTAATACAGGAGAAATAGTAATACAATGATGACTGCATAAAACTTTTGACACACAAGTTGTGAAGTTGGGGTTACAGTTTCTACTTCTCATTAGTCTGCTTCACTGCTGCAGAAACATTAAAGAGTTTGTTACTGTTGACATAAAGTAATTTGGAAAATTTTGATTTACTGTGAGACCCAAATGAGGTATTTTCATGGGTGGATTTACAGGAAATTATTTTGGGAACTGAAGCCTCCAAAGTAGAACTCAGGCAGATGATTTGGGTCTGTTAGCAATGAAGACTGTGCCCTGCAAGACCATAGGTTACCCCTAGTCCTAGTTGCATTATTCAGGTTAACCAGTTATTTACAAAAACTGGTAATAAACGTAGATTTTGTTGACCCTGCAAAGTTACTTTTGTATTTCTGAACACACTAAAAATTAGTAAATTTGAATCTCTAATGTTACTGTTAAATCAGCCAAGGCAGTTTTCCAGCAAAGCAAAAGTTTAAGAAAAAAAGATAGGTTTTTCAAAACATTTAATGTTCTGCTGCTGTCTCCTCTGAACTTTCATACCTGATCTCCACTATCACAAGGTGAAAGAGGAAGCTGAAGTATTTTCAATACTTTATCTAGATCTGCAGGGCTTCAAAGGTAGAATTATATCTGCAGGATTTATAAATACAACAAATCCAAAATTATGATGTGTGGTCAGTTCTAGCTTTTTTTTTTCCTAGGTGGGGTGGTTTTTGGAATTTGGGGGTTTTTTTGCCTCTGCTGCCTTTTCAGTATTGCATATATGACAAAAGCTGAGGAAAACCAACAGTATGTACTTCTAAGTTCAATGCCTAAAACCTTGTCCACCACAAAATTCACTTTCCTGCTTGAAGGCTTTGCAATACATGAGTTTCTTGTGGGAGAGAGGATGAAGGGGAAGAGGAGACAAGGCAAACAAGAAACAGATGTTACACCACCATCCTTTACAATGACTTTGGAACACGTGGTAAAGCCAGCAGACTGTTGCTGCTTGAGTTAAAAGCTTTCAGCCCAAGTATATGTGACAGATGTCCCACTGCTGGCCTGTCCATCACAGAGCAGGTATACCCCTGGGCATAAAGCAGGAATGTGGTTCCATACTCACGGAAGACCTTCCTACCTGTCATGATGGAGATGGTTATCCTCCCTTCCAGGATGGTATCCAGCAGCACACCCAAGTAGAGCAACATTGGTAGCATTGGCAGAGTGCAGCATCAATGGAGGATCACCAATTTCAGCGCCTACACACACCTGCTGAGAGCAGGCATGGGTGTCTCTGGTGCTACACTCTGCTTTGTACACACTCCTGGAGCTATGCCGTGGAGGTCTTCTCAGAGGCATTTCAGTTTATGTACCCCTGCTGCTATGGGTGGATATCAAAATGGGGTACATGGTACTTGTGTTCTCTACAGGTACTACATAATTACAGATGTGTATCTATGTGAGTATTCAAAATGTCTTACAGGATTTTTTTTTGGGAGGCATACTGTTTGTTTATTAGTTTAGGTAGTGCTAAAATTTGGGGTTTAAGCTGAGTTTAACTCCCAAGGCTTGAACTATTGTCCCCAGCACTCACTGCCCCTCAGAACTGCATGTCCATTAACTTGTGCTCATCTGGTGTAGACAACCATACACCTAACAAAGAGTTTAACAGAGACTGCTAACTGGCTGTACTTCCAGAAAGCTTGCAGGTTGTCTGAGTGGGGTTACTTCCTCTTCCCTGAAAAAGTGGGAGTATGGAATACCTCACATCAAGAATAGGCTGGTGTATGTTGAGGCTGGTGCTACCATGAGACATTAATGAATTATGGAAAAGGAAGCAATGGTTGAAGATAAATTAAATATATACAAGAGTGAAGACTGAGCCAGCTGGTTCTGTGACAAAGGATGCTTACAAATACAGCTTATTTCATGGTTTTATTCCTGAGTTTACAAAGTCATTACTATAAATTAAAAATATGTGGATGCAAGTCCTGTATAAAGTCTCTTCAGCGACGTAGATGAATTTCACATGTTCAGAGACCCTTCTTTGCCTGCAGGACAGCTGGTTTTATTGATTTTTTTTTCTTATGTTGTCATGACATGGCAGATTATTTTCCTGCTTGTGGTGTATATTTTACCATGGATTGGGACAGGCAATCTTGGCAGAGGTAGAGACTCCACATTTTAAGCTCAAAAATGGAAAGCTGGGGTGGACATACAAAATGTTGACCAATAAAACAGAAGTTGAACTCTTCTTTCTAGAATATTGTGCTTCAAAGTTTCATATACGTGCTGAGGGTAATATACACACGTAGAGGCCAAACAGGTATCTGTCATTCACAAATCATGGTCTGTTAAATTCACTTCCACAAGTAGCAGCCATTTAAGCAGTTTCAAGTAAATTGAAATACATGGAGACCATTATTTGTACTTCTTGGGTATGAGTAATCGACACAATTACTTATTTAAATACTTGACAAAGAAAGCTGCTAAATTGCTTCTATAAGGATGAATTCTTTCTTGACCAGGCTCCCCAAAGTGCCATTAGAAGGATCACGATGATCACTGTGTAAAGGGTATGGACTGTAACAAGATCATCTCCTCGCTGGTGCTTGAACCCAGAGGTGCTGTGCAAGTTCTCACTTTTGTTCCCATTGTTTTTCTGCCTGTGAGCACGGAGAGAATGTATCCTGATATAAAAGAAAGCAAGATTGAGATTAAAAATTATTCTTTTTTATTAACAGTTCAACAGTGTTTGTAATGAAATCCAGAGTGTGCATTGTATTGTTGACTAGATTTGGGAAAGCGCTCTTCAAATTGTATGAGGCTAATAAAATAATTTCCATAATTGGAAATGCAAAACATTTACCAGCCATTTGGTATTTCTCTCCCACTGACAGGCAGAGACTGGGTAGGGGCTTGTTAGAGGACACAGTGCTCTTACTCTTCACTGTTGATGCAGATCATTGTATGAGAAAAAACATACCCTTTCATTTTGCAATATTATGAAAGTGGCAGGATTCAAATAAAAAATTACCAGTTTCCAAAGCTTTCATCCATGGTAATAAGCACAGCATGTGCTATGTGAGCTTCCCATCCTGCTCTGATGTGTTTTTCTATCTTTGCTTTTCAGAGGGGACTTCTCTGCAGTCTGTGTCAAGGTATTCATTAGCCAAAGATACCAATCAGGAATAACTACACAAAGCATATCCGCAGGATTCTCTGGAGTAACATTTGACATTGCTTTGCCACCTTTCCCAAATGGTTTGAAGCTAGAAGTGTTAGCCTGTGGCAACAGACCTCCAGTTATTGTTATTTCCACTGAAAATTGCCTGTTAAGCCCCAGTGCTAAGTCCTTGTTCCTGCTGCCTGCCTTTCTTTTTTTTTTTTTTAAGAGAAAAAAAGGCTTAATATTCACAATTCCATCTGAACTGGAATGCTAAAAGGAGATGAATTAATTTGTGATCCTATAGCTTAGGGAGGGGTCTGAGAAGTATTAGATGTATTACAGCTCTGGTTCATACATGTTCCTGCTGTTATTACTGCAGAAGAGTAGGGGTTACCACAAATGTTAGTGGAGATACAGTCTATGAATAAAAAAGAACTTTAAGCCAGAAATTACATACTTATGCATGCTTGGAAGAGAGCTGTCAAAGCTGATTTGTTAAAAATAAAAGAGTAGGAAATGCAAAAGGGAATTCATCAATAAAACAGAAGTTCTGCAGTTGAGATTTTACATAAAGTAATTGCAGAATTAGAAATAGACATTTAACACTTGTATGAGAACAATTTGGCTTGTATAGCTGCAAATCAAATAACACAGCTCACGATCATCTGGAGCATCATGTGAAGACCATGAGAGGAATAATTTGCCAGTCGTTTGCTTTTCTGTTCCTACCTGAGGGGAATGCAGTATGTGCAGCTTACCTCCTGCAGGCGTTCATGGTGCCTTGATTGGGTTCACACTGCGTCAGATTTCTTCTTGCAGAGAGGAAAAAAGCCTTTTTTATCCTCTTGTTGCCTTGCACAAAAGGGGAAAATCTTCACTCAGTACAGACAAAAAGAATCTTCCTTCCAAGCCCACGAACTTAACCAACAATAATCTGGGAGCACTTGTTATGTGTCAATGAAAGATCTCAAATTAATGGTTTCTAGAGCTGATTTTTGACATAGTTCTTCAAGAAATTCCCTTGAGCAGTTCACAAGGCAAGTAGTGAGTCATCCCAATGACTGGCTTCTTTTAGCTGCTGGGATCTCTTCTTATAAACAGTAGCTCACTGCTGAGGTGTTGCCAAATTCATAACACCACAAGTAAGGCACAGATGGAGGGTGCTGCTGCTGGAAATTATTTTCTATTAGATCACAGGCTGTTTTGGGGTAAAACTTAGTTCCTTTCTACAACTGCAATTTGGTTTAACTTGGCTGGAGTGAAATTTGAAGCCACTCTCACTTACATATGCTCTAATATTCAAACACTTTTATGAAAAAGTAGGTGCCTTCTTTATAAACTATTGACTTATAACACGATCACATTCAATAAGCAGTCAATAAGCAATATATTAGCACAAAAAAACCATTTTGACATTTAGGGTTATTAACAGTCATATACATCCTATTATTCCCTGACCACCTAAAGCCATTAACAAGAGGCTGTGCCCAATAGCTGGGTGTGGCATGATCAGATGGATTAATGGTGGTCTTAAATCCAGTGGTCCCGTAATTATTTGTAGGGCTTGTGAACAAACACACTTCAATTTGCACTTTGGGAAGACAGGCCAAAGCCCTTCTTTCCCAAAACACTTTTTTTATCATCTTTAAACTATTAAAAAAATTTAAAATAACCACATTTCTCATTTAAATGTTACTTTCAGCTTATTGTCACATAGAATTGTTATTAAGACAAATCTGAAATTGTAGTTTTGGTGCATTTCTAAAGGCTTTTGCCTTTCCTTCACATAGCATTTATGTTTCTATATGAATAAAACTGGTTCCTTTAGTTTTATTAAAACAATTAGCAATTTCCAAACATGTCTTGGAAAATCACTTTACACTCCAGAAAATTAAGACTGAGCTTGTTCACCCATGTTAGCAAAACTGTGCCACTTGAACCAGTGGAGCTACTGAGGACATAGAATCGTTCTAAATTA